CATCTCAAGTTCAGCAGACATTTTTTTTTCTTTTTTTTCTTGGAGGGAGGGGAGGGGGAGTGTCACTCATGGTAACAACAGCCCACAAAGAGGACTATGGCGGCGCTCCGGCAGCCTTCCCAGTTTGTTTTCCTCAACTGTAGTGAGTGAGTGCTATCTTACATTGACATTTACCCAATGAACCAACTGGACGCGAAGCATACATTTCTCAACGAAGTGTATCTCCATAACATAAACGCAAAAATTATCGGAAAGCATTCGTTCAAGTTCTATAACAAACACACAACAATAAAACAACAGAAGAAAAAGGAATAAATGGGAGCTTGAAAACCTACCAGCCCATCTGGAGTGTTGAAGTCGTGGAGGAGCAAGTTGTTGCGAAGACACTTTATGAGATGCGGAAAGTCCGAAAGGAAGTGGACGTAGCGACTGCTGTCTTTGGGATGCCTCATTCTGCATTGAATGTTCTCAGACGTTGCTTCGATTCCAAGTACCTTCCACATCTTCCTGTTCCATGTCGCACCGTCGCAAGTGACAAAGTCCACGAAAAGACCGGCATCTTCTGCAAGCAATACAGCCTCCACTAGAATTTTCGCGAGGAGCTCTCCTTTAACGTTCCCGTGTGTTGCGAATACTGCTAATACTTGTGTCCACTTGCCGGTGAAAGGTGCAAACATAATCACCATGCCATGGTCGCATGGCTCACATTTATCTTTTTTTGATGTAAAATGGCCTAAATCAACCAAACCTTCAATAGTGGCGGCGGATGTGACTGACAAGTGTTCAGATAGTTTCATTTCATCAATTAGCAGCCCTCCGTGTCGCTTAAAGGCGTCCATAGATCTCGTCTTTTTTTTTAGAGCACTCAGGACCCTTGTGCAGAAACCGAACCCTGTCTTGTACGAGCTCAAATATTTCCTCAAGGTGTCTTCACTTGGTAGGACTAAGATCTTGTTGCTTCTCATGTATTTGTAAAGCTTTGGACTTTTCATCTTCATGAGCAGACACTCTAAGATCCAATTCTGAGTGAATTTTAATCCCCTGGTACTCGCTCGTTTGGAAGCGCGGAAAAAATGAAGTGCTGCTTCTCTTTGTTTTGGAGGCATGTCAGCAATACTTTCTTCAAAAGTGCCTTCCTTTATAGCTTTGTTCTGCTTCACCATTTCTCTCAGTTTTGATTTCAAGTTTGACACCCGTCCAAGCAGTCGGCGATTTTGCTGTCTCAAGGTTTTCGTTTGGCGACAAATGGCTCGCTTTGCAGAAGTGGCACCAGTAGCAGCAGTGGTACGCATCACCTTACATTTTTTCCTAATCAGGGACAGCCTTGCCTTGGCGCATGGACGGCATTTTACACCTGCACAGTTAAAAAAAAAAGGTCTGATTACATGTTTACGCCCCACAGACAGACACACACAGACGCCTACCCACAAACAGTCGCATTAACGCACACAAACATATGCACGCACGCACCGTCAACCATCAAGCTTTCTCGATTTGAGAGGAGTAATGGGAAGAACATTAACTCACAGTAGTGTTAAACAGTGATAAATTTCACTCGAGTTCTTTTTCTTTTATTTTCGTGATAATAATTGCACACATGAAATGTAAACTTGTGCGATCTTTTTTTTTTATACCTCTGTAAGAGAAACACCCCTGCCCGTTAGCAATTAAAACATGCAAATGGAAATAAGATGTGCATATTAATGTCGTTTCCTTGCATATATTTTGACAACTCGTTCAAAATCACCATAAATTTTATCAAAACGTCCCTCTCCTATACGCTTTAATTTAAGCTCTGTCCGTATCGGTGAAGTACATAGACCTACTTACCTCCGTTAGGTACAACACCTTCACAGCTTCTGCTGTAAAACGCTCCTCCATGGCATCTGAAGTTCCGTCCAGAGGCAAATGTCTCAAGTGGGCCATCATTAGGTTCATTTTTCCTTATGGAGCCAGGGCATACAGAAGCTGCGTCGATTTTTTGCATATGTTCCTCTGCCTGTGCGAAAGATAGAGCCCGTTTTTCGTCGTAAGGACTGCCGTTTATATGTGTTCGGCAGAGAAGTCCGTCTTCTTCTTCTTTCAGGAATATAACTTTGTCATGGGATATTTCTGAAGGCGGTATTAGTGTGGAGGTGACATAGAAGACACCATCAACATGCGGGAACTGAAGGGCTGTCCATCTGGAGGTTGACGGCATCGTCAGTGTAAGAAGGGAACGTCTTCCTTCATTCGTGGTACCGCCTTGTGTCTCCGAATTGCAGTCCATCACGGGATGCGCTGCCGACTTCACACACTTTGCATGCCTCTCTGTCAAGCTCGCAGCGCTAGAGGACCTTTTTTTCTCTTCGCACTTGGTCATTGATGGCCCGGGGGCATCTTGTTTGGCATGCTGACGACTTGTCGAATTATTAGTCACCTGGTCACCCCCGTCGGAACGTTGTTGTCCACTCAGTATAACAGGCACTGCTCCGACTGCAAGCTTTGGCCGGTCACGGGGCAACCTGACCTCTCTACCGCCTATAATGTGCACGAAGTCTCAAAACAGATGATGCGGCTCGAAATGTGCCTCGCAGACCACACTTGAACTTTTCATGTGCCCTCTTGGCAAGCGTAAGCTGTACTCCCATTTCTCCCTCAGGGTCGGAGATGTTGGAACGGCGAATAGCGAACACTTACTGCCTTCAGTAGATCCTATGTAGGTAACCCCGCAGCCGGGCACACAGCAGTTGCCCTGCCGCTTTGGTTTCATTTGCGAAAGGTGTAACAGGACGTGAGACTCTCACTTGTACAGAGGGGTCCACATCTGAAGGGGAACACGCGTGTCGTCTGCTCGGCTACACCGCCAGCCCGCTGCGGCAACTATGAGGTTTCGCGCACGAGCACTGCGGACAGCGCTTTTTTATCGTCTGCCACAAAAATATGAACACGTTCACCTGTCTGTTTCCGCACACCTCGTGATAGCTTTATTAATGTTACACGCCAATATCTTACGCATTTAGTGTGAGGAGGAACACTGAAAACTCCAGCAAACAGAACATCGCTGCTTTACCAGTATTCAAACCTTCGCGACTTCCCGCCGACTGAAAATCGTTTACTTTCAGTTTTTCTTTTTCTTTTTTTAAGCGAGCCAGTGGGCGGCGACCGCAGGCGAGTGAAAGCACACCGTCTCTCTTTTATTCGCTAAAATCTCGCAAGCTATGCTTTTAAGTTTTCGTTGAATCCCGTGCGGTGGCGCTGCAAATAAATGCGCTTGCTGTCAAGTTTTTTTCTCCTTTACTTCATATCTCGCGTAATGTTTTGTAGCAATATGTAGAAACTGAAGGCATATTTAAAAAAAAAGCCAAACAATACAGTTGTACACGTGAAATTAAAAAAAAAATCTATGGTCACAGCGGTGATTCGAACCTGGGTCTTTTTAGTGGGATGCGAGCATTCTACCCCTCGACCACTTCGGCGGAGCTGCGCACGGCTCTTAAAACGACGACAGGTCACAGACTACCGATCGCAGCGCCACTAGCGGATTTGACCCCGTTTGGGCCTCACTTTTTGGATCTCGGTCCGGGCACTCCCCTTGTTCTAGTACACTCTAGTTAAAGCAACACATCAACTGGCGAGGTCGGTAGTCCCATTGTAGTTTATCTTTCGTAGTTTTTCTTGTTTTGTTCACGCATGTATTGTTTTAACATTTGCGCCTCCTCATCAGCCCTACTTGCTGCTGCTGGTGGTCCCGTCCACAGGCCCTTTAATATTGGATCTCCGATGACTCTTGCAGGATTGACTATATTTATTATGATAAAGTGTTTTGCGAATTAGTGCTCTTAGTCGGCGAGACGCAAAAAGACACAAAAAACTCGAATACATCTAGCTGCATTGGTTTCTTCGGCACAGGTGTCAGGAATGTTGATTTCCACGGTTTATCAAAGTTTTGATGACAGAAAGTTCGACTGCAACGTATTCTCGGGCAACTTTTTTTACGTCGCTCAGTGTACCATCACCTGACGAGGTAACCGGCAGGCCGCTTCTTTTAAAAATACTGACTTGTCACCGCAATGTTGTAGGCGATCAGTACTTGATAAACGATGCCCAAGGGCAAGTGCCGACGGCGTTAGCCCATCTAACTACAAAACAGCTTGTCTGCCTTGCTGAATAACATGCACGGCCTGTGACAGCACGGGAGCATTCACGTAGCAACGGATGAGAACGGCCGTACGTGTTCGCACTTGACGAAACAGACAGCAATGCAGTAGCTCTGGCCTTCAGAGATCACAGGCTTCGTAAGAACAATACAATGAAGTTGGTGCCATCCACCGTATGAACACTTCGCCGACGCACTGGGGTTTCATGCATGTGCGTCCGGTCAGTCACACGTGAACTGTGCGAAAGCATATTTATTTGATTGTCGACCTTGTCCTTCACGACAATCAAAACTCGGCAGCAAAAACACTTTCACCGTTGACAACACCACGCTTGGCATTGCAATCTAGAAAATGCAGTACGTCCAACAACTGTAATCCGCACATCATACCGAGAAACTTTATGGCGCACACACTCAGATGAAGCTGCGGCGCGGTGGACGGTTCTTTAAATTTTGTAACCACATATTTACATTCCTTTCAGTGAAATAAAAGTAAGAAAGAAAGATGTACAAAGGAAGTTATTTGGCCCAGCACTTGTAGAAACAGCGCGTTATTCATTGGCCGAGCATAAGACCAGGCTCTCCCACGTGCGTCTTCGGGAGCAAGCGCCATAAGTGCCGACGGTTAACCAACTAATTTTGTGACGAACAGAATGCATGCCACACGGCTAATTACAGCCATGCTGCGATCTCTTAACACGCGTGTAATGCTGACTTCTAACATATCGGACAGCACTTATTGGCAACCACGCGCCGTCAGCTTTAAGAGTTGAAAGTTTGAAGGTCGAAGAACTCTTGGAACCAACCGACGGGCTCTATTTCAAGCTTATCCAGTGAAGATCTTGCAAAATATATAACGTACCTTCCGAGCTATGTCAAAGCACCTGGCCTTTTTTTTTTTTTTTCTATCCACCCTGGAAAACGTAGAAACAGCTGCGTCTCAGAGAGCCACTTGTGCGTCTCAGTTTAGCGATTACTTCCTCAAGTAGATAGCAGGCACTACGAGCGTATGCGGTGATTACCTGACGCAAGCACCAGCAATCGCGCGTTTCGCGACTGTCGCGACGCGCGCTTTACTTGCAGCGCCTTGATGGCAGCTTCTAGGTCGCATATTGCAAAAGTGTTTTCTTGGTATCCTTTATCGCAGATTGCAATGCGAGCAGGCGCGCTGTATGCAAACCTACTGCTACCACACAGCAGTGTCTTAGCTACCGTCTCGTTTTCAATTGCTCGCCGATCAAATGTTGGATAATATTGGCTAATTTTTCCCGCTTGAGACTATAGAGCTGTGGAATACGAGTGCAGAGGAGTGGACGATGCGCAGAAAACATCATTCGTTCAAGGTTGACACAGCGAACGCATGTGTGTACATGATATTGTCACAACTACCATGGCAACCAAATTAATTAGAAACAAAAACACACGCATATGCAAAAAGGAGACTACATTAAATATACAAATAAATAAAATATGAAATTTATATATATATATATATATATATATATATATATATATATATATATATATATATATATATATATATATATATAGTTATAAACTTCGAGAATAGTGCAGTATAGGAAACAAAACAATAAAATATTTATTTAATCCTAACAGTTTCGGCTGGTGGACCAGCCTTCTTCGGAGGATGTAAGTGAAATGATACAAGTTCCCGTAGCAGAGGGTCACCCTCACAGTTTAAAGACCCTCCAAAAAAAGAGAGAGAGAAAAAGACAAGCGGGCGAACGAGGTCTTTTTCTCTCTCTCTTTTTTTGGAGGGTCTTTAAACTGTGAGGGTGACCCTCTGCTACGGGAACTTGTATCATTTCACTTACATCCTCCGAAGAAGGCTGGTCCACCAGCCGAAACTGTTAGGATTAAATAAATATTTTATTGTTTTGTTTCCTATACTGCACTATTCTCGAAGTTTATAACTTTTATTACGGTAGCCGGAAGAAACTCTGATCATCTATTTCATCTATATATATATATATATATATATATATATATATATATATATATATATATATATATATATATATATATATATATATAGATGAAATAGATGATTAGAGTTTCAAGTTATAAACTTCGAGAATAGTGCAGTATAGGAAACAAAACAATAAAATATTTATTTAATCCTAACAGTTTCGGCTGGTGGACCAGCCTTCTTCGGAGGATGTAAGTGAAATGATACAAGTTCCCGTAGCAGAGGGTCACTTTCACAGTTTAAAGACCCTCCAAAAAAAAGAGACAAACGGGCGAACGAGGTAGCAACAGACAACAAGAAGCAGAAGGAGGAGAGGAACTAGAAAGGAGCGATGGAGAGCCGCCGGAAACGAGCGGGTAATTCTGGCATTGTTACTGGGTGTAGGTAAGACGCGCCGCCAGCGGAGGCGACCAAGAAAAACGGAAAAATGTGGAACATGTTGCCGCTTACTCGCATCCCACACATGGATCGAGTTTAAGTTCACGTGGTTCGGCGGCTGGCCCGTGGCATCGGGCCACACACACACACACACACACACACACACACACACACACACACACACACACACACACACACACACACACACACACGCACGCACACGCACGCACGCACGCACGCAAGCGCGCGCGCGCGCGCGAAGCATACAACTCGCTCCAGCTTTCGGAATATAATGGCCACGTTGGAAAGCTAATGTGCCCTCTCCCCCTCCCTCCACCTGCCCTCTCTTGCAGAAAAATGTACATCCAGTCATACTGAAAATAAATCAATGGGTATTCTTGTAAAGGATGAACAAACAAAAACGTAAACAAAAAAATATATAAAAATAAATAATACTAAAAAAGTACTCAGAAATGAAAATAAAGTTTAATAATACTAACACACGCCGTTTGGTTCACGTAGCATCGAATTCGTTTAGTTTCACGCGCTATATTGACCAACTTGCGTGTGCGGCTTCCCGTATGTATAAATAAATTAATTGAGTAATTCAATTTCTGTGTTTCACGAAACGTCGCGGAGGCACGTCAGTCGCCCAGGGCTCTCGTTGATTCCGTGGGTAAGTGATCTGAATTTCTTTGTAAAGTATGACTCCCGCTGTTCGCGCTCCCGTGTGTTCTGGAAGCCGGATTGTAGGAGTATGACACTTACGCATTCGAAAGAGTGACCAGGAAGATTGATATGTTTGGTGAACGGCAAATTGGGGAGGCCCTTTACGTGTGCCCTGTGGTTGTTGAAACGCAAACGGAACGCGGTTTCCGTGTGTCCAATATATTCCTGTTTGCACACCTCACAGCGAATTTTGTATACCACATTGGCTGAGTCACAGTTAAGGTCGTCTTTAATTTTGTACACATAGTCTGAACAGGAGGCTTCGGCCGTATCTGTGGTCACCATGTGTGTGCACACCCTGCAGCGAGGTTTCCCGCACGGTCTACAGCCCTGATGGTGGTCGGATTTGTGTGTTTTCGCCCTATATATATATATATATATATATATATATATATATATATATATATATATATATATATAATACAATCTTTGTGTGAATTGGGCAATTATTTGCTGCGGAGCTAATTAAAGCATTATTCAAGAAAAGGCGTTGTTCTAGCCAATAAAAAAAACGCAGTTTGGGGCACGTGACAAAATGTCAGCTAATCAGACACGGCCACCGGAACCGTTGTACTGTTTTCCTATCGCCCGCGTCGCTCGCTCTTGGCGCGTGTTTGATTCGAATTTATGCGAGTTACAGGCGTTAGTAGATCACATTTAGTCTTTCCGTGAACCTGGCAGGTGCGGGACCTCTGCCCTCCAAAGCCAACCGGAGACTGACAACTGTCACGTTTCTTGCAAGCGTTTACCATGAATCGCACCGGTGTCGCCTCGGCGTGAGTTTAATAAGCACCGCTCTTGGCGTCGTGTTTGGATTTGGTCGCTATGCCTAATGTCTTGTGCACTTTCAGGTTCAATTGCCCTGTCTGCCTAGGGCCGAGCCAGAGCCTGGTATTCGGCCTGTGCCAGCACTTCGCGTGCGCGTCCTGTCTGTACGAACCAGTCGACAAAAGTTTGAGGCCTGGGTATCATTGTTGTCCAGTCTGCAAATTTGAGTTGGCATTCCCAGATTGCTGGTAACTGATGGCGGTGACCTTGGATACGCTAGTTTCCGCTCACTAGTAGCTAATATAGTCGGACGTCTCAATTGCGTTAACGTAAGTTTCGTTTTCATGCAGCCCCGTCATTCCGGACACCACTAAGGATCTGATGAAGATTGTTGGCGTCGTGAAATGCCCCCGGGAACGGTGCGGCAAAGAAATATGGGCTTCGGACAAGGAGGAACACGAGAAGTAAGTCGCACTTTAGCTGTGACAGTCTGTTAGCTCGCGGGTTGCTTATGCACACTACAGTTGCTTTGCCATTTGCTCAGATACAGACGCGTGTTGTGCGTTGGCTTCGCTTTTCATTCATCAGGCGCCCCGTGCCTGCAGAGTACTTAGACGCGACTCTTGCCACTGCGCGATAAGCATCGGGGAAGAGAAAATTCCGATGCGCAAAGCAGGCATAACGCGAAACGCGGGGAAATCGTAGTGTTTGCGCGAGCCCACGATTTTGCGTTCACGTTTTCAATGTGTCGTGAGAATGCGTTTTGTTTTGCAGTTTCGTTCTAACGAGAATCCGCGCTTGCTCGAAGAACTGCTGTTGACGGTGAACTGGAACACTTTGAACTTACGTGTTTTCGTTGGTTGCTGTCAATCATCTTATTGAACTCTGCTTTACTGAAGTTCAGTTGGTGCTAGGAGCGATGGTCGTCACCTTAGACAACTGCAGGAGTTCTCCAGCAGCTAATGCGTTGCGTTGCCGAGCACAAAGGGTGCCGGTTAGATTCCACACTTTAGGAACTGCCCTTGAGTGGAGTCGAAATACGAAAACAGTCGTGTTCTGTTGTGAGAATCTTGAAGGGGAACTCAGAAATTGCCTGATTGAGTCCATGCAGTGTCTACATGCAGGTGGAAAGCATGAAACTGCAAAGGGAAAGATGCCTTTCGCAAACCAATACTGCAAATTTGTATGTACAGTCGAGTGCATAATTTTAGAGACCACGGGAGAGCGTGCCGACGCGCATCGCTGCGCCTGTGGCGGCTGCACGGCTCTGCCCGGGAACGCGTACTGCGCACGCTCGTACCATATCACCCAGCAGCCTGCCCTTTCGCTCGTTTCAACGGCGCGCATCTCGAAACGATGTGGACGACGCAAGGTGCCACTTCTGCAGTCGCTGTGCAAGCACCGGTACTCCCGAGCGATAATATAGCGGCGAAAATGCCTCTAATGTAATAGCATGGCTCTAGCGCACCGTGCAATACGCTTTCTTCCTTGATGCAGCGCGGAAAACGTGCAGTTTCTCAGCTTTTATCAAACGAAGTTGCGTGATATGCTCATTTTGCAGTAATGAATTTTGTGCTCTGTCTCGGAGACGTTATGCTAGCTCCATTTTTTGGTGCGAATATCGCGTGTCCAGAATGAATAGCCAAGAAACGCGATAAACAGTTTGTTCTTATAAGCCAGGAAAAAAAAAGAAAACGATAGCTATAACTGCTATCCAGGAAAGATCACTACTTTCAGTGTTCATTCAAACGCCCATCGGCGGCAATCACTTGCGCCACACGAGATGGCATCGAATTGTAAAGCGCGGCCAAGATCTCGGGGCATGAACGAAGTGCTTCCCACTCCTCCTGTATGGCTGCGAATAGGGTCTCCTTCGTTGAACTTCCGCGCCGCAAGTCGGCGTTTCACGAGATCCCAGACATTTTCATTGGGGTTCAGGTCCGCTCCTACAGGTGGCCATTCCTATGTGCAAACAGCAAAGCCCTCAAGCAAAGATTTCACACTGCGAGCAGTTTGAATCGGGCTCCTGTCATGCTGGTACACGAAACAACCATCCTTGAACGGCCCATTCAAGACATAAGGAAGCAATTCTCTCTCTATTATAAGTGTGTACATGGAGGCTGAAAGGTTCCTATCGATAAGAAACCGTGGTCAAAGTCCTTCCCTGGTCATAGGGGCTCAGACACTCGTGGAGCATCGGCCACTGGCAAGACCGACTGCGTGTACTGTGGTGAATACCTGGCGAAGAAGGAAATGCTTGATTGGTTACATGGATTTATAAGCACGACAATGGCACATAGTCACTTTATCCCCGAACAATTTCGTCTTACTTGAAGATCCATATAATGAAATTTTAATTATGCGAGATCGCCAAGATGGTGCGAAATATTCGACATGTTGGTAAGGCACCCTCAGTACGTTCCAGAAGGCCTCGCAAACTGAACTGTATTTTTCTAAGAAAATGAGGTACAATATACAAACATTGGCTAAGGTGCTTAAGTTTGGCGAGCTGCTCACGATAAGAAGTAACACAGCTTAAAGAGAATCAAAGATAAGCAACGTTCTACAGCAAGTTCGAAGACAATAAAGTGCTGGGCTTTACTTGCCTTAACCACAACGTAATTAAGGCACACTGTAGTGGGTGACCTGCCATTAATTTTTTCCAGCTGCCGTTACTTACCCTGTGCACTACTCTTTCAACACATTCAATGGTAAATAGTACAAGGATGACATTAATGTAGAAGACAAATCGCAAATGTTACCTCGAGTTCATTGGACGCCATACTCACCGTTCCTGGTCCCAGCGACTTGAAAACGTCGATTCATCGCTGAACACGACATCTCCCCACTCTTCCGATCCCCATGTCTGCACAGAACGCGCAAACTGCAGTCGCATGGATCTTTGCCTGTCCGTGATGTGGGGCTTCTGGGCCGCGACGCAATTGGCAAGCCCTGCTTCTGCCAACTTCCTACGGATAGTCCAGACGGACGCATTGAGATGCAACGCATTTTTTATGCCTTTCGCTGTTATATGGGGATCAGCTACTACGGCGGCGATAGTTAGCCTGTTCACTTCATCTGTGTATCTTGACCTTCCAGCACGGTCTCTGTCACTGATCGCCCCTGTTTGTCGGTACGCTTGGATGGCACGATTCACCGCATTTCTTGACCTTTGAAGGAGCCGGCAGATGACCCGCTGAGAAAAGCCTTGGATGCTTAACTCTACGATGTGTCTCCTTCCATCAGCTGGTACTCGTGGCGACATTTTTGAAGACGAATGTGGGGGCCTTGAAACCCCCGATCTTGTACTCTTTCGAGAATGGCACTGTCCAATGGCTGTCTAATAGCTGGGCTGTGCCGCGATATGCTGCCATTCAACATTTGCTGTACGAGATAATTTCTTATCGTCAGCAAGCCCGAAAGACCACGAAACAAGGCAAAGAATTGACAAAAATGACAAAATGGTACTGCGCCTGCGTCGTAAGCACGCGTGAAACTGCTGAGTGCCCAATTTTTCTGAGAGTTATAATCGCATTTCCACGCAGTCAGTAATGTGTACAAAAGGAGCGGTGTGCCGCCGTGCGAGGTATTTGGTCAAACAGCTTAAGGAATTAACTTTTGTTTCCTTGTGGGGCCTCCAACATTTGAGCACTTTGAACTGAAATGTGCTCGCCTGTAATTCACTGCAGTAATTCACTCTGGTCCTTCTGGCTAGACTTAAGTTGATTGATTATGGTGTCGCCAGACCAAAAGCACGTTGGTTGTGATGGTCCTTGCAGGTCTTGCATCACGAAACGGTCGTCGGCGCGGTGCGGTGGCTCCCCAGCAAGTGCTAGCACTAGCCAGAGGCCCACCACCCGCCAGAGCAAGTAGACGAGGAGCAAGTGCTCTCTCAGGGTCAAGAACTGAACGTAGCATCGGGCCTGCCTTAATTGAAAATTTCTTTTTAGGTAAGCAGCGTCTGAGAAAAGTTTGCAAGTTTTAAGTCTTTAACCTCTTCACTACCAGCGTTTACATTTGTGGACATGACTTTTTAAGGGGCACACTGCACCTGAAAACTTTATTAAAACTTCTTTATTTATTTGAATGAATCCAGCGAGATTTCTTATATTTGTGTGCCGATTTTAAATGTTTTTTCCAGTACAATACATAGTTTTTATATTTTGAGTGGGATTTCGGGAGCCATAGTTTTCCTAAACTGAGAGAATTAGAATAGAATGAAACGCATCGGTATGACCTGGAATGAGTATAAATGCAAGGAAACAAGAATTGATGATCTAAACTCATTTAAACAAAAGTTGTGGTATGTTGAATATATGTGCGTACGAATGGCTAACGTGCCCAGGACTATATGCACGTGAGTGCCAAATAAAGTGAACAGTGCCGTCTGTCTACAAGCCCATGAGCATGAACTGCCATGTTTTTTGGGGGACACAAAAACAAAACCAGTCGTACCCCAGCCTATCAGCTAATGGGTGCTGGCTTTTTATCTTCATTCTGTTATAGCCTTTTTGGTGTCTTGATTGATGCACCACACTCTTGGAACTCACAAACTTTGTTCAACTGCACTTACAAATGATATCGCCAGCTGAATCAAACACACTCAACGCTCGACATAATGAACGTGTATATAAGGAAATATTGGTTATAACCAAGTAAATAAAGAATAGTCTAGCAATGGTGTCGGATATACCTTTATAACACATTTTTGGATATAACAAACACATTTTGAGGTAAGATGCAATTTTGTTATAAGAAGATCTTAGTGTACGTCACTAGTGACACGCTAAACAGCATTGTACAATATTTTAACATACTGTAAACACAGCACCGCGACCGCCAATTCGGTGTGGCCGATTCGCCACGAGGGACCCGTGGGAGTGGACCGACGGTCTGGCGTCCGTGGATCTTCTTCAGGAGACATTCATCCCCATCGCCGCCCCAAAGCCAGAGAGACTCCCCAACGTTTTCTGTGCGGCCAACTAGCCTTGCCGCCGGGCTGTACTGCTGGTTCTACTATGCTAATTATAATGATGATGATGAACCCACGTAGTCACTGCGTCACCCATTGCTCGGAGGCTGTTTAACCTAACTTGGCATATCTGCGAGAAGTGTGGGGGTGCTATCGCCCCCTGTAAAGTTGTTTGTGCCCCATGGTGAAAATGAATTTACTGGGAGAGGTGGTTGGCTCTTAAAGTCTGCATACTTATTTTTCAGTAAAAATGAAGTAATTTCTGTTTCAATGCAGTCGCAAACATAAGATACTGAATTCCAAGAAACGTTATGGATGCATTATGTCAAAAATACAAAGAGATGCTTTCAATGGTTACCTAGTAATTTGGAGGCTTATCTTTTCACATGAAATCAAGACTATTTATTATTATTACATTAATGGAATGCTGACAAGATTTTGCAAAGCTGAGCTTACTCTGCCATACAAATCTCCTGTGTACAGAAATTGCTCTGAGCTAGTGCTTCGTTATATGTTATGAGCAAGTGCTTATAACGTATTTTATTTTTGTATTAGTCGATTTTCCCATGGCATATCGGCCAACATTGACAGCAACTTGACATCGGTGTACAGTATCGACTCCAGCGACTTCACACTGTGCTCCAGCTAGTTGTGATGACGTCTGGTACCTAAACATTCAAAATTGGCCTTTGTGCATAGCCAAAACACTCAAAATTGCTGCCCATATGTCGCCAACAGAGCAGCGGTGCGGAGCGGCGGTTAAAATGTCGCAATATGTTGCACGTGCCTGTCGTGACTGATGTCAAGGCACAGTTGGTACTGAAAAGTGTAAACCACACCGTGCACACATTTTAGTTGCGACCACAGGTTAGGCACTAAATGATTCGACAGGGCCTTGCTGAAATGGCGAACGTATGTGGTTACTTTGTTTTATGAGCTTTTAATGGCGTGTCAAATGGGAACTTCTGATCATAACAGTACTAGATGAGCATTGAATCCCCCGATCGATTCCTTTGCACAAGCTGTAAGAAGAGCCAATCACTTTATTGAATTTGACCACAGAACTACTGAAGCATCACAACATCATCCAAGATGAAATGTCGATACTTCACAGAGTTCCAGACAGCTTGGAGTTCGCTGTAAATTTTATGTGTTTGCTATTGGCCACAGAGCGCTTCATTGACAGTTTGAGATCTTTACCAGTATAGTACGATATACGTTCATTATAGTGGAATCTTCTAGAAGTACCGAAGCACTTTCTCAATAAACCCAGTATTATGTTCTGGTGGATATTCATTTTTCTTTTATGTTATTGAGGAACATTTCACATGTATTGTTTTACGAGATGAAAATGAAATTCATAATTTGTTATATCCATGATTATTACTAGATTATTCTTATTTAAAACTTGAAGTGCAATGGAAAATTATTTTAGTTGATTTTATAGTAAAATCGCAATAATTCAAATGCTGATGATTCCATACCTTTAGTTAATTAATCGAAATTTGATATTTTTGTTGGCCCTCTATTCTTTCTATGTACAGTAGACTCTCAGTAAACAGAACCTGAAGGGACTGGAAAAATATGTTCCATTTAACAGGAGTTTCGTGTACTAAGAGGTGGACATGGCTGCTGAATACAAGCTGAAAACAAGCATTGCAGAGGCAATAGTTCCATTTAAGCAGTAGTTACGTTTAACAGATTTCTATTTACTGAGCGTCTACTGTATTTAAAAGCTTCTTAATTCAAACTCCAGTATTCGGTCAATTCACACTTTCTGCAGGTTCATTCCAGAAAATATCAGCTGCTTTTCCACTACTATGTAAAAATTAGTGTGCTTATATAAGCACAGTCTAAAAATGAAAAATAAGTATTGGAGGCTTTCAAGAAAAAAGACTTTGCGAGTAAACAAATATATAAAACGAAACACACGCATGGTAAATCCATAGAATAAAGAACCAATTTAGAGAGGGGAAACTGTAGTCTTGACAACGGTACGCAAGATAAGCAGCGGTGGCACATGGAACAGCGGAGGGCAACCAAGAGATAGCGCTGAACGAACAGAAATTGGAAAACAAAATTTTTTTTTGTTGTTGTTTTATGGACGAAAAAAACGGCCGCTTTCTTTTAATTCCGTAGCAGGTACGTATGCGCCTACGCGGTCGCCGAGGCCCATTCTTTATTCTGTGCCTATCTCTTAACAGAACAGAACAAAAGAGAACGGGACTCGTGCAGGTCCAGGGCTGTCTTGTTATCTTTTGCCCGCTTGTTTTAGGCGCATTGATACGCCCAGCAGCATATCAAAGCACTCTTCGGAACCAAGTACCTGTGCGTACAAAGGTTACATGAAAACGAAAGTCATTCATTGGCAGCTGGGACCAGTAAAAACATTTCATGAGAGTACAGGGAACAATATTTATTGATGGCAAACCAGCAATCATTTTTGCTGTTCCCACAACACTACGTTAACGAATAAAAACGTGCTAGAAAGAAAATGCAACGCAGAGGATCACGTTAATCATCGGATGAAAACTAACTGCCAATATGCGCATCGGCTGCCCCGTTGCTCCCGTTGAACCGCAGCAGCGCAGTGAACAAGCAGCGCATGTTTTCCGCTTCGTCGCCGTCACCAATAAGAGAATCCATAGCAGAACTTGCATAGCACCTGATCGCTAAACAAGTTTTGTGCTTAGAAGTACTGCGCACTACGTGGAATTCAAATTTCATCTTTTATCTATAAGAAACAAACACTTTTTTGCGAAAATAGTGGCTCTCTTCACTTTGAATTTTGAGCTTTCTATGGTGCCCCTAGCGGATTTTTTGGTGTCCCCGAGGGCAGATATGAACGGAGCCACTATGGTTGTTCTTTAGTTGGCGATTTTTAGATGCGGAAGCATCTTATACTCGCGCCTTGTAGTGCGCCGTCCGCACCGCTTCTCGAACATTCGACAGCTGACGCGCGCGCATGCGCCGTCGCGCCGTCGCCCACTCTTCCACCATCTGTGCATCCCTTCCTCCTCTACACACCGCGCGCGCTTCACTCCTCCACCATCTGTGCACCCTTCCTCCTCTACACACCGCGTTCGACATCTACAATTCTCCTGATTCTCCAGTGGACGCGCATGTGGCGTCGCGCTTCGAGAACATTCAACAGCTGACAGTGCATGCGCCGTCGAGGCACATGCACTGTCAGCTGTTGAATGCACTGTCAGCTTGTATATATACTCAAGGTCGGCGCTCGCTCGCTCAGTTGCCGCTCGTCGGTTGGTTTGTACGGCGCGTCGACGTCCAAGGTCGCGGTGAAATGAATTCCAACGAATCCACAAACACAATGATCGACGTCCCTTCGACCAGCGCCGCCCTTTCGCATACGTGTGTACGTGTTCACTCATTTAACACCCCCTCCTACAACCACGTTAACCAATTTAGCCATCGACCCAAGTAAGTCGCAATTTAACACCCCATTTCTCAACCACGTTAACCAATTTAGCCATCGACCCAAGTAAGTCGCACTTTAACACCCCGTTAACCAATTATATGCTCCGCATCCTCCTCAGTGTTCCCCCGAGGGAAGCTGCGGGCAATTTTTTTCGCCCCCATTGGCAATGGGTGGAACTTGAGACTTTCCGGAGGCCTGGTAAACCGTGATGCTTCTCGGCTGGTATAGAGAGCTTTGTGCTGAAGACACATACCCATAGCAATGAAGTAGTTGGCGATTCACGATTTCTTTAAAAGATCTGATCAGCAGGAAATGGCCTATAAACTTGTGGACTTTGTATCTCTGCTCTCTGTGCACTGCGTTCAGTAGCATTTAAAAACACTTGAAAAATTTTGAAATGTGATGAAAGCAATTTGTGTGACGTCACGTCACCCAGAGTCATTTATCTGAGAACTTCTGATAATTCAAACTTCTTGATCATTCAAACGAAATTGAGAGGTCTCTTCGAGTTTGAATAAATGAGAGTGGACTGTACTTTGATATTCATAATGTCTGTGTGGTCTTGTGTGGGTCAACAGTATACAAGATGAGAATATTTGGTTGTACCTACTGGATAAAAATATTGGGGCTGAAAGCTTTAAAAGGCCACCTCAAATGTGTACGTTTATTCCATCTCTTCCAAATTACCTACAAGCTCTTTTTTCGGGGGCAAGAAATGGGCCATGTGTGTTTCTTTTAATAGGTGCGACTATTTTATCATGCATGTTTCTTTCATAGTTTCTTTTAAAGTTGGTTCCATGAGTTGAAATTATACTGAAATGCCTCAATAAAACAAATGTATATATAGAACGCTCCATAGCTAATAAAAATTATGTCGTGCAATGCAAGGCAATGTATGTAGACACACATCCACAGGTACTGTAGTGTAAGTGTGCAACAATCCTACTGTTCAAGCATTATTAACATCTGTAGCTAATAAAAAAATATGTTGTGCAATGCAACGCGATATTTGTAAACACATTCACAGGTACTGTAGTTTAAGTATGCAACAATCCTACTGTTCAAGCATTATTAACATCCATAGCTAATAAAAAAATATGTTGTGCAATGCAAGGCAATGTATGTAGACACACATTCACAAGTACTGTGAGCAATCCTACTGTTCAAGCATTATTATCTCGTATATGCCCAAACTTACGAAAATTAACAAAACTGATTTATTTCCCTAAAGTGTTTGCTTCTACGACTTCAGAAAACAGAATAAAGCTTTTGTTAAAAAAAACTCTTTCGAATAATAGTTTTGGAGCCATGCTATATGTAGGACACCATTGTTTTACACTCTGCGACCAAGAAAAAGCGCTTATCACTGTCATATGAAAGTTACTGCATACCCAATAACTGACGTACAATCTACAAAAATATCAGCTGCACTGAGAACAATTTGACTCTATGTTATTTTTTTTTTGCGGTATGACATTCAGTTACACGCACACGAAGTAGCCATTTTGTGACAGCAAGCTCCTAAGTATTTTTAGCCCAGCGATCACCTAGACTCGCATTTGACGAGGTTAGGTCATCATAAAGACGCCCTTCGTGGTGTCCTTATGATGCTTTACGCATGGGAATCGCAATCGAAGACCTGCATGTCACTACTCCTTTAACATACTATATTAAGACCTCATTTCAGCATTCATCTTGCATGAAAATAACTTTGTTATATCCGAAAATTTGTTATAAATGTATACTGTCTCTTGCAATTTTTCGCTTACATTGTTATAAGTGATATTTCGTTATAACTAGATTTGTTATATTGGGGTTTGACCATATTGTGAAATTACCGTGTATAGAGTTATCGAAAAAAGAATATACCAGAAAGCTTTGTCACCTGAAACTGTCACAAATATTTAATTTCAGGTTCCTCTGCTGAAGTGTACCTGGAGAGGGAGCAAGAAGAGAAGGAGGTCTTCTTTGCATTTATAAAATAATTAATCAGCCAGTATTTTTTATTTTATATACGTATGTACAAACAATTTTTTATTGTGGCAATTAGCATTTTATGCTAGACTGTCTTCTATGTTTAGTTTCATTTCGAGGCTAGTCTCTTTTGTGCTAGTCAAGTCCATTACCATTTTAATGCACAATGTTTGAAATCTTGTTTGCGTTCAAAACGATTGTGATGTGTGAAAAAAAAAAGTGTTAAACTGTGTGTTTTATGCGTACAAAGTCGTACAACTGGTATTGATTGTATCGCTCAATTTTTGTTGGAAAAAAAAAAAGTATGCTTCTGGCATTGTACTCTAGTCCTGAATGTACAAAGAGAAGAGTGCTCTACCTCCCTCCTAGCCGATGCCTCTAAAAACTCTTGTGATAAGGTACTGTTCTCACGGTACACAACTCAACATCAAAACTTGAATAGCAAGTAATTTGTGCAATTACATGAAACAACGACATCGTAGCGCTACGAATCTGGCCCCCAAACAAGTTGTTGGCACAGATGTAAGTGGACAAGCCAGTAGTACATAGATGTGCCACAAACTAAAGTCCATGAAAAATGAAGTATATGCATTTCATCATGTGAGCACTGTACAACCTCGCTTTGTGGGCGACCCACTTTGTAGCCAAGTTGCTGCAAGTGTTATGTATGACTGTATCGTTGCGTTGTGATTTCATAAATAAATAGCTATTTTCCAGCATGTGATGGCTGTTTTCCAGCTGGCTGGCTGGTTTCGAGAGGGTGTATAGATCCACCACCAACGATCTCGTGCGTATCAAGACAGAGATTCGATACACTTTGGTCCACAAACAATACTTCCTCGATATCGAGAAGGCTAACGACACAACATGGCATATTTGCATATTGAGAGACTTGTCTCACCTGGATGTGCGCGGTAGAATGCTTTCCATAATCGAGACTTGTCCAATCAAACATTCCGTGTCCATGTGGGAAGTGTTCTCTCTCAAACATTTGTGCAAGAAACGGGAGTACCGCAAGGCGGTGTACCTTGTTGTGCACTTTTTGTTATCAAAA